ACAAAACAGAAAACTCGTCTTCCCCCTCGTCTCACTCCCAGCCTGTCCTCCTATGCTGTCGCGCGTCTTACGCTGTCTGCGAACACGTATAGGACAGAAGCCCAACTTGTCGAATGTATCCTCTGCGTTAAGAGCCCAAGTTTTACCGCGACAACAGGAATTGTAACCCTCGTCTAGAATCGCCCAATCACCGTCGTCCTTGAGGACATCAACCATGCGACGCTTAGAAAGAACCGAAACTTCGGTCGAAACCTTCCGCGTTGGAGCCGTAAAACCGACAAGACTGTAATCTGTGACTTCTGTGACACAGTCGTGGAACAAAGAAGCTATTAGTCTACCTGTACTAGCGTCGCCCGTCTCATGACAAATCTCGACAGGGCGTTTCGTGGAAGCCTGCAGTGCAACCTTTAGCTCTGACAAGGTGATGCGGCGATTGTCCGCAATAAATGTCTCAATTGCTTATGACTGGATGTTGCTGGAGCGTTCAACCTTCTTAGCTTCATTTGATTGCCTTTCATATTTTGGCTAGCTTCCTGGGCCCCCCCCATCGATACATGTCGAGCAACGACAACAATGCGCGCGAACAATATCTGGAGCACTGCCGCGACTGCCCGCGAGATCGCGCGGACAGTGAAACGACCGCGAGAACCGATTCCCGAGAGATACTTGCAACCTCGAGCACATGGATGAAGCAACGGGAGATTTGGAGGTTTCCGGTTCAAGCAGGAAGAAGAACTCGACGAAAGCAAAAATTTGCCCCTGGGAACTTTCGGCCCCGCAACTCCTACGAACTGTCCGTCTTCCTTCCGGGCGAAGTTGCCATCGACCCATCCTAAGGACAGAACCAGATCCTCACGTGGTATCTTCACCTTGCGACCCCAATCCACGAAAGCTGGAGTGCCCTTGAGAGCAAGACCGTAACTGTGCCCATTGTGCCGACCCGAAGCGAACGCAGTATCCTGACCAGGACAAGGGTAGGATCCGAAACATATTCCCCCCCTCAAACTCCTCATCAGAAGCGTTAGCCATAGAATGAGACTCGGCCGAGTGAACAGCCATGAACCCAAGGGCATCTCCCTCGGCCTCTGCAAAGCTCCGAGGACTTCCCCCCTGGAGCTCTGGAGGCCCCTGAACCGGAGCGGCTCCGGTCATTTCCATGCAACTCACGCAGTCATGACTCTCAGCGCGGTTGCGCTGCAAGCTGCACTGCCCGTCGCAATTCCTCCCCTCGCGCGCGTGCCCGGCGACGCGCGACGCGAGCAGAGAAATAACTGCATAATCGAGAAACACCAGAATCCATCCTCATCGACTCCTCCTTGCCCCCAATGATATGGCGACTGGTTGATGGCGACGCAGCAAGATAACTGACGGATGCGAACTCTCGCCTCGCGTAACTGGACATGGCGCTCGCCAGTGTCTCCAGCGTGCGCTACCATTGCCGTCCTGGGCTTGCCCATGCAGTCAGAGCCCCCGGACCAGTGGCCTGTTTCGCGGCAGGTCTTGCATTCGAGCGTTCCTTGATCTCATGGAGCCGCCCCCTGCGATCTTCTTGCCCCTCCCTTCGGTGCCATAGTTCACTACCAGAACCTCTTGGATCGCGCCATGAGCTACTTCCTTCGCAGATTCCGGCTTGACCATGTCGTCGACTACCTCGACGTCAAACTCGCTGCCATCCTGGACAGGGGCCCGGTGAGCACGCGATTCCTCGTCGACGTGGGCGCGCTCGTCGGCGCAGTCGCCCCAGGCCGCGTCGCCCAAGCCGTGCTCTGGCGCATGGCCAGGCGCGTAGTATCCGTAGGGACTCAGCTCCTCTGGGCAATGCTCCTCCTGCTCGCACCATCCATCTCGGGAAGCGGAAAAACGTGCAACCCCAGATGCGCGCGCAACCTGGGGTGAAGGTTCCTGGGGGAACCTAGATGCGCAACCCCAGGTGAACCACCTGAAAAATTACACGCACAACCGAGGGTGAAGGTTCCTTCCTGCGTCGAAGGACAACGAACGAAAGATGTGCAACCATGCATGACGGTTGTCGAAAACCGAAGCGGGTGCAACCCAGGGTGATGATCTCGTGTCAAGGAGAAACCCGCACCCCAGGTTGCACTCGCAGCTGGGGTTGAACGTTTTGGGCTCCCTGATCCATTATCAGCAGTGTAGAAGGCGTGTTGTGGTCTGGAGAAGCGCACCTTGTTCTGGAAGCTGGGTCTGGGTTGCGTCCGCGTCACAGAGCTGGAGCCTTTTACCAGACTCACCCTTTCCTTTTTTGCGGATGTGTCTGCGGCCGTGCTGGAGGATCAAGACGTCGTTTACATTGTCGAAGGTTGTCACATTTCCCGTGGATGGCAACACCATCAGATTCCCCGAAGGCGAGAGGCCTGCATGGTCCAAGAGGCGGGAGCCAAGCATATCGTCGCCCATCAAAATCTTGGGAACGAGCTTGGAGACAAATTTCCACCAGCGCTTCCTTCGGAGGGTGTGCGAAACCATGGGGTCAACGCGCTGCCGAGACAGTGGTCCATATGGTATCTGCCCCACCTGGAACAGGATCTTCGCTTCCTGCGCATCTATGGGGAAGAGTGGGGTACGAATCGCCAGCGCCAACTGATCGATCCCATTCGGCATCAGCAGTACGTCCTTACCGATAACCATGGCAATATCGAATGCGTCACCTCTGAAGCTTTCTGCAACCTTCTTGACAGCTGCGGTGATCACGTGTTGCCGTGGTGCACCCGTCTCTTGATCCACTGAGGCCGAAGCGGCACTCATGCGCATCTCTGTTCGGAATTCCCACTCGTGGAAATTGTTCGCCGTGCCGTCGTAGATGTCGGAACCACTCTTCGTCTCGGACCGCGTCAGCGCGCCGGCGATCGGCCGACAGCGAAGAAAAGAAAACGTCATGGCGAAAAGTTAAGTCCTTTAGCAAGGGAAACTGCCAGTACAGAGCGTAAACATAGGCAATGCGACGCTCTTTTGCGAGACGCGCGCGCAGTGGCACGATACGGGGATCGTGTGGTAGCTCCGCTACCAGTGTGAACATGATGCGATTTAGCGCAATGCAGAAACCCAAAGGGGCAATGGGCAACGAGTGGTGCATATACACACGTGACACATGCAGCATCTCACGCGGAACATGCAGAAGATGGACCGATGACGAGAAACTGGGAGACAACGCGCGAGAGAGACGGGGGGGGAGAGAATGCAAGACGCCCCTGCCCGCCAAGCGCCTGCTGATGGGCCCTCCACCACAAAAGCTCCTGCACTCCGAACGCCCTCGCCAATGCTTTCGCTGCGCCGAAACAAATGTTTCCCGCGCCAAGCGCGTTCACAGACGCAGAACCTCTGTTTTTTGTTCGTCCTCTGCAAGGTCACAATTATACACCAGAAGATATGGGGTTACATGCGGCACATACAGAATGTTGGCACGACATATCCGTTCAAGGTAATTGTCTGTCTACGAATGCGTTGATGCCTCCAATTTAGGTAAACAAATCCCCACTATACCCACTTTGAAACGGCGTCTTCAATGCTATACTGAGGACGGTGCGTGCCGATGAGATCCAGTTGTTGCTGAATTTCCACCGCAGAAGCAAATTGGCCAAAGCTGTTTCTCACTGCGTCGTAGACCATATTTTATGATTCCCTTTGCCGCCCCCGGCATGGAGCCCGCCCCATGGAAGAGGGCCGTGGAGCAGCGGTACTTTTAGGTACCTTCGCGCGTCCCCCCCACCCGGTCGCACGGTCGAAGAACGGATGGCAGGGACGAAAAACAAGAACCCTGGTCAACACAACAAAAACCAAAAACATCCTGAACCAGTCGAAACATCGTCCCCAGAGAATTTTTGGACTGTTCTTGACTAGTCCTCCTGTAGAGGGACGAGCCCGACTTAGTGCAAGCCCCTGGGGCGCCCGAGCTGGAGCCTCTTCGAGCGCGGCGGGCCATCCAAGGAAGTCGAGGATGCATCGGAGGGGCACGGATGCATGGGGTGCGGCAGGTTCGCGTCGTGTCGACCCCGGCGCCGGTGCCTGACACCGCGGGAATCGTTCACACTCGAACGATCGGCCCTGTCAACAAAAAGCCAGATCGTTCAAAGATGAGCCGATGCTGTGCCACAGGCGGCGTTCAACCTTAAACGCCCGCGCTGGGGTCGCCGCCGGTCGACACGACGCGAACCTGCCGCACCCTTGGGAAGGTTACCAATCCTTACCATCGGTTCCGATTGTCTGTTCATCATCGCCATTTCTGCTAAACAGCATTTGCACCCCGATGTCTCGACCCCCTCGCCAGGGACTGGCTTTTCGTCCAAGCTTGTTTGACAGTCCTGGGGCCCGGTGAGGGCCCCTGGACAAAAACAACACAAACGGTAGCCGTGATTCGTGTCACGACTCGAGGAGGTCAAACCACGTCCGCAAGGTAAAACTCGACCCAGACCCATGCTGGGGCGCGTTCTGGCCAGAATTCAAAAACACACGCACACACACACGGATCCTCGAATTTCGAGGGAGCCCTTCCTTCACGCCATTGGCTTGGCGCGCCAAAGAGGGCACGATGCCCAACAGAAAGTGTTGTCCAAAACGAACAGCGTCCTCTGCTGGGCAGGCGAACTGTTGTCTCAAATGAACAACGTCCGCAGCAACACCGACAGCGAGCCTGGGTGAAACCCGGGTGATCCAGGGGGTCCTGGCTGGGGGTGGCCGTGGTGTTTGGCCCCCAAAAACCGCCAAAGAACACCCTCATCCCTAACCAGGATCCCCTGGATCACCAGGTCTGGAATAGGGGTCCTGGCTGGGAGTGGGGATGGGTTGCCCTGTCCCCACATGAGCAACGGTCAACGGATCTTTACGCGGTGGCTTACGCGGGCCGCCAGCGCGGCACGCCTCATGTAAAGCGAGGGCGCTCACGCGCGACCGTATGCGGGAAGCTTGCGAGCGAATGTCGGCGCAATCGCTTCCTGCGTCGCTCGTCATCCTCCAGTGCCCGCTTCGATTGTCCCGACTGGCGACACCTCCTGGCAGCCGCGCTGCGCCGCCGCCACGGCGGGAGCCTGCTGAGGGCCCCAAAACGAGGCGGTGACAGACCGCGCGGCGACCTCGCGATCCCAAACGACCCCCTTCCGCAGTGTCCATCGCCGCACGGTTTGGGGGACCTCCGAGGCCACAGTCGCTTTCGAGGCATCCTCGAAAAACGACCCGAACCCCAAAATCCGTGCGGCACCCACCACAACCAGTGATTCGGAGCAGGCGAATTGAGACAACGGCAGCCCCAAGTGGGCCCCGGACCCTGCGGAGGCACAGCCGCACCAACTCTCCGAGCCGCGTCCAGCCGTGGTGACGAGGGTCCCCCCCGAGGGCTAACTGCCGTTGTTTCAATCGCCCTCCTCTGAAATGTGATCACCGCGCGCTTTCTCGGAAAAGAAATAGCAATCACGGCCACTGGGAACCCATCGTGGGGGAAATGACCTTGGGCGGTGGCACTCCTGAGTCTCGTCCGGAGCCGGGTGACGCTGGGTCTGCCACCGCCCAGAGGTCGGCAGAACCCTGGTGGGTCCTCCGCGGCTTGGAACAATCGGAACATGGCCACAATGACGTGGGCCAAGAACCCGAACCCCTTCGCCCAATGCCGAAGGCCCCACCGAGAGATCCCACACGAAACGCGTTTGCTATATACGAGAAGACGGAGGAGAGCCAAAACACGAAGAACATACAGTAGGAACTCGACCACAGGAAGCCATCCACAAGAAACCAGACCCTGAGACCCCAGCGCGTCCACGGATTTTTTCGGGGGGAATGCCACGGCTGACGCAAATGACGTCCGGATATGGCTGGCAGGGTGGATGGGGCGAGGCCGGCGCGGGGAAGCCCGCGCGGCGTGGATAACAAAGGCCACAGAGAGGCGGTCTCTAGGATGATGTTTGGGCGTCCTGGGGTCCCCAATCGTTCTGAATTTTCGGTATTGATGATCTAATACTGATAGGCCCTACGCCTACATGTGCCGCGACCGAAGCAACGTTGCCACCCGATGATTGGAAGTTTACCGACCCCTTGTGGGTCTCTATGCGCGTGAGATTCTTCTCCCCCGCGTGTTCCACCGAACCCCCTGCGGCCACAAACCGGATATTTGACCCCCCTCCCGGCCGCGGGCGACCCACCGCCAAACTCACCACAGGGGATCAAAGCGTGCCCAGGCTCCCTTAAGAGCTCCGCGAGAGCCACTGAAGCTCCCAAGAAGCCCTCAACGCGGCCCAAAAAGGCCTCACATCGCAGAAGATTCGCTCCAAAACTCGAGCAATGGCCTCCAGACGGCCCTGGATGTTCGCAAGACGCCCCAAGAGACCTACAAATGGTTCCTGGATAACGAACGGCCCAAGACGTCCAATTTTATTGGATTGACGTCGATGTTTCTCAGATTCACGCGTTGGCCTGTTACTACGTCCAAAATGGGCCAACAAGCACCCAAGAAGGCTCCAAAACGGCCCAAGCGGCCCCATGGCCGACCAAAGAAACTTGACAGCTGGCCCTAACATGGGCCCAACAGAAACCCCGAACCGAAAATTCGAGCCTCCCGCCCCGACGCTCCTCGATGGTCCTCGATGTCGCCAAACACCGAAAAGCGCGATCAAAACCTTGAGTTCAATTAAGGGGTCGGCGGGTGTGGCGTAAGCCTGTATACTAAATCTCCCACCCGTGTCGCTACATGTTTCTTCCACCCGCTTCGTAATCTGTTTCGAAATCAACCCATTGTATGCGTACCCTCTCTTTGGCGGCAAGTACGTTGCGACTACTGTGACGTCGCAGCGCTCTCGTACGCAGCCTAACCCTTGCAGCTCTTCTTTGCAATTGTGTAGATGGTGTGTACTGCGTGTAGAAGGCCTTGCCTTTCATCGTCACGTTGGACACTAGGAGCGTAATGCCGCATGACTTGGTAATCCATGTTACCTTTTTTGCCCCAAACTGCTGTGCCACATGATTATATACAATTCGTCGCCCTGATCTGCTTTGGCCCTGCCCACTGATAAGCCCATGTCGGCACAATCGCATCCCACTCTCGTAGTGCACCGCGAATTTCTTCCACGCCCGTCCGTGGTATTCGCTGCCAGCGGATTTGTATAATACCAGTCTCATCAATGCACGTATCGACAATCCTGCAACCGCAATCTATCTGCCATGCCCCCCTGGCCCCCCTCTCTGGACCGTGCGAGTGCGGGGCGGTAGTCGTGTGAGACAGTTTCAGTGAGACAGTTTCAATAAAATGCCCTCTCCGTCGGTTTTCAAAGCGTCTGAGCCTCCAACGCCGATATGAAGGGAGGAGGAGGAGGAGGAGGAGAAGGGAAAAAGAAGCGTGCACATTTCGTGCCCCTCTTGGGCCCAAGGGAGGGCCCGTTGCAAGGCGCCTTCAGGGCATCGTAGGCGCACCCTTCACCCCCCCCAATCTGGCCGACTCTGGACACCCTGGCCCCAAAAACGCTTCTATCGGATCCATAGCTCTGGAGACCTGGTGCTGGGCTAGTAACGCTGATTACCGAGGCCTGCAACCGAGTGCAGAACATCGGCGCAATCGAACGCCGATCGGACCCCTTCAAATGGCCCGCTTCCGCAAGCTTCCGCCACCCATCCGACAGTTTCCGCCAGCAGAACCGGCCTCGTTTCCATCCGTCGCCTTCAGCAGTCCTTTCCCGGCCCTCCGCTGAGGAAAAAAAAATGCCAACTCCTTCGATCCTCGAAGCAAGGCATTTTCTGGAACGCTCCACTTATCGCTCCCCCACTACGCAACGCACGAATCGTTTTTTTTGGCGGCGCGCACAAGGGGGTGGAGGTAAGGGGGAGGGATTCGTAGAAGGAGGCTGCTCCTCAGAAGGCGCCGGCCTTACATCTGCATATAGGGCCCGCGCCTTCTGAGAAGCAGGGGTGCTTCTAAGAAGCCCCCCCCCCTGTCCCCAGCATCCCTCTGCGCGTGCCTGGTTGTCTCCCCCGGACACCGGGTAGCCAGCGCCCGCGGCGGACGCAGGGCCGGGGCTCCACTGCGGGGGCGGCGGCGCCGCCAGCTGCACGGGCGGCGCGAGCGCGGCAGCCGGCAGGCGCAGCGGCGCGGCGGCTTCCGGGCGCGTCGAGCAGCCGGGGTTTGGGAGGGCCGGGGGGTGCGATGCGGTGGGCTATCCGTGGGCACCGCCCGGGGGAGCGATTTCCTGGGACCATAAGGGGGCGGTGTATGTGGATGGTTGGCCAGGTGCGGTGGCGGCTGATCAGGACTATCGTGCCGTAGCTTTCTGGCTCCACGAGGGTCAGAGGAGCGAGCTTCCGCTCATGTGTTCCGCGCGCAGCTGCGGATCACCTCGGATAGCGCTTGCAAGCCCCTGTTTGCCATGGCCCCCCTCCCCACTCGCCTAGGAAACCGACGCCCTGAAGCCCCAGGGGCCCGAGCAGGTCCGTATTCACCGCCGCCCACGGTCCAGGGAGATCGGTTCCCCTGCCTTTCCCCTGGAGAAAATATTTGATTCGCCTCGACATTCTGGTCGCAGCGCGCCCCTGGCGAGGCCTGGAGAGCAGCGGCATCGCTTAAACATCGTTCAACCGATCCCCATCCCCAGCGGCGTGGCCTGGGCCCCACTGGCCGATGTAGCCCCTTAGATGGGGATATAGGCCGTTCCCTTCGGGTTTCGAGGGGTGTCTCCCCAACTTGGGTGATAATTCGGTGGGGGCCTCGAGGGGGATGGGGATGGGGATGGGGGTCGGTTCAACGGTGAAGCGGTGCTGATCAGTAACTACTTTGGAACCCCTCAGTGGCGAATCGGCTCACCCAACTGAATTTGCGGCAGCTGTGGGCCCCGGTGCCCCCTGACAGCAGCAACGGCTTTTCTGGATGCCGCTCAGCGCCCGCCCATTCCGGGGGAACGGGTAAGACTTGATCCCAGATCCTCTGCAGAAGCCCGAGGCGCACCAGACATGGATAAAAATAAAGCCTCTAGAGGCTCGGCTGTTTATCCATATCTACTGGGCCTCGGCCTTTCAACGCCCCTTCGAAGAAAATCCAAGACGCACTGGACTCGGATGTAAATACTGACTACCTACCAGACCACCCCAACCCGAAGACCCGAATTTCGACCGAATTTCGGGTCGAGGGGGGGTACGGGCTTCACATGTGTTTTTCAATCTTTCCCGAACCCTCCCCCAACTGGAAATGGAGGGCAAATCCGGGCCTTCGGGTTGGGTTTGGGTCGGGCGTGTACGAGCTGATTTTGCATGAAAAACAAAAGCAATTGCCTAAAACGATCCAGAATAATGGAAAAATCGTCCCCGTAGTATTTTTGGATGGTTTTTGAATATTATCCTCCTGTGGACACGTCCGAAGTAAGGTTGGGTTGGGGTGGTTTGGTGGGCGGTGAAATTTTGCCCGCACTCCTTTGGGGGACATCAGCTGGCCACCTCACCGATGCTGGCCAAGCCCGGCCTGGGCCCAGGACCCGTGTATGTAGCAGGCGCATACATGACCAACGACCTTGCTGTAAGAACGGCTGGGCGGGCCACTCTCTCCGTCGATGTCTGAGCCCACTGTTGTCGGGCGTTGGCAGAACTCGGTTCAATGGGGCCTGGTCTAGAGATGTGTACCGGGGGGTGCCCCCCTCCCCGCCCCATTTCACTAACCGGAGCTGCCGTCACCCGCAAAAAACAAGACTGTTTCAGTAAGTCTGGCCACTTTAAATAACGGCGTTGGGGCCCTACTAACTGGGTTCCCTTACTTGGGGTCCTGGCTATACCCGATGTTGATCCAAAACTCATGTGGCGGATTCAGGAAACTGGAAGCCCCAAAAAATCAATCTTTTTGGGCGCATCTTTTACCTCCGCCGCTCTTCCGTCGGCTTCCGCCGGCGGAGGCGGCCTCACTTTACTTCCGCCGACCTTCCGCCGCGGAGGAGGTGGCAACTCTGTCGATCCTCGAAGGCAAGGCCATTCTTGGAACGCTCCATGTGGGTCTGGGGACACCCGAGGATAAGACATTTTCGAGTGCCCACTGTAACATGCCATGGCCCTTCACCCCTCCGGTGTCTGCTCCATGGGAGGCCCCTGGGGATTCCGCTGGTTTGGAACACAAGTGGGCCGGATTTGGACTGGATTTGGACCGCACTCGCCCCTACACAAGGCAGACGAGAAGAACGGGGCAAGGGAGGCTGAGGAGGAGGGGCGAGGAGAAGCCTTTCGGAGGGTCCAAATTCGGCCCGAACGCAGGTAAAGCTGGTCTCACTGCCGCCGCCCAAGGCTACCATGAACAGGCATCGAACACTGTAACATGCTAGTGGAGGGGCACAACATCGGGGGTGCGCAAACATGGATCGGGGGAGGTGCCCTCCACAAAATGCAGTCGGTACCGCCTCGCTCGGCGGCATTAATCCGCGATTTCCCATGGAAACGGGACCCGTCGCTTATCCACGCACCCTTCATCCATGTTTGCGATCACCTGCCAAAAACGGGGACCATGACCAAGACCGAGCGCGGAAACGTCGTGCGTCACCGCCCATCTTGGCCGGCGTCAACTCGCAGCTGCTTCTCGCGAGCCTGCAACGGCCGGCATGCACCACCTCATGTTAGATCGGCATCGACAGTAATAGGTTCCGCGACATCTCAGCCACGGCCAGCGTGTGTTCTGCCACCAATGCCCCCACCTTCGAGTAGCGAAACGACTACAGAATTGATCGATCCCAAACACCGAATTGCGAGCCAGATCTTGGAAACAAGATGTAGCATGTCTGTAGATCTACAGCAACGTTCTACGTGTACTTTTTGTTGTTTGGGAAACCTCGAGAAACATTTACACATTTCGGGGTAGATGGAATTCCGTAGTCGATCTCCTACTCTTGGCGGCGCGTACAAGGAGGGCAGGGGGAGGGGGGAGGGCTTCTTAGAAGGAGGCTGCTCCTTGGAAGGCGCTGGCCCTACATATGTATAGAAGGCCCGCGCATTCGGAGACGCAGGGGCTGCTTCCGAGAGGCCCTCCCGCCTCCCCCCCCCCCACCGTCCCCTCCCAGACGTCTGGCGCCTCGAGCTTCTCGAGACACGGGGCCCCCGACCTCCCGACCACTTCCCCGGGGCAGGCTCTCCCGCCCGCGTCGTCACTCGACGGCCCCGAGGCCCCGCGAGGGCCCCTGCGAAACTCTCGAGACGCCCGAGGTCCGGGCCTGCGCGTGGCCGCTGCTCTCCACCCCCGTGTGGCCCTCGCTCCAAGCCCCTCCTCGGCGCCCCCAAGGCTGGGGCTCCGGCGGCCGGGAGGGCCGCCTCCGCGGGGCGGCGCGGGCCCCGCGGGGCCTCGGTGACGACCGGGCCGCAGGCGACGAAGCGCAGCCGGAGGAGCACCTCCATGGGGACGCAGAGGTCCGACGCATTGAAGAAAAACTTATCAATGGATGGTTTTCGCTGAGGAGGTCAACCGGGAACCCGTTCGCCAAATCTTTCAACCTCCGCTTGGACCCCTCAAGCACTGATTGGGGAATCAAGACTGACGTTTTTCTCAATTTTCGGTCTCTAGGGGTCATCGCCGGGCCTCGACACCGTCAAAAAACGACTTAGGATGACAAACCGGTCCTGGGGAATGGGTCGAGACTTCCGGGGGGCCCGTATTGAAAAAGTCACGACATCGCATCTCAGGGGAGGCGGCACTCCCAGAGTCGGGGAGACGTAAGACCCAGACCTCCTCGCGTTGTGGCAAAAATCACGACGGGATTTGTTTCGCTGTTTTCGGCCTCTGGGAGCCCTCGCCGGTCCTCGGGACCTTCAAGAAACGACTCGGGATGAGAAACCGGTCCCGGGGAAGGGGTCCAGACCGCTGGGGGTCGACATTGTGAAAGAATCACGACGTCGGGGGTCTGGGGACTCGGATAATTACGGGGGACTCGGGTTGGCCTGACGGGGCCATCCTGATGAAAATGACAAGACCCAATCTGAAATTTGACGCGAGCTCCCGCTGCAGACCAGACATCCCCCACGAGCACCGGAGCGACAACGTCCAGGACGCGCTCGTCAGAAAACGTCGGCAAACCCGAGTTCCGGCTTACTCGAGTCTTTCGTTTCCCCGACGGCGGTGCTATCGCCGTCGTAAGGGAACATCGCGACGGGAAAATTGCGGCTTGCTTCAGGTGACCCCCCCCCCCACGTAAACTTGGTGGAGTCCAACAAACAAGCTCACATGGAAATCGCGACGGGGGTGCTTTCTGCCGTTTTCGGGCTCTGGGGGCCGTCGCTGGGGCCCGGGACCGTCACAACACTACTCGGGACGAGAAAAATTGGTCCTCTTGGTCGGGACTTCCAGGGACCCAGGATGGGAACACATGCCATCGAATGTGAAGGTTTAGGCAGGCGCGAGGCTTGGTCAGGGGACGAGGAGGGATATATGTGGATACTCAGGTGGGTTACAAGCTCGTAGCTGGCCAGACCTGGCTCAGCAGTCGGTTACAAGTGGCATGGGCGGCTTTGGGGGAGAACTCTGCGGGGTGGGCAGGGCCCACTTGATCCAGATCGCTGACTCTCTAAGCCGCTCGCTGCGCAAACAGCCCACTTATAAGGCAAGTTAGGCCGCATATTGCCCCAACTTGGCATCCACTCATAGCCGACACCGCTACTCGGACCTGTCCCGAGATGCCTCACTGGGCCCCAGAAACGGCAGAGCCGTTTGTTTCATCGTTTCCCTGAACATGTATTGAAAATGGATATAGCAACAAAAACAGCTCCAGGATTGGAACTGGAGCTAGAACCCGTGAACAACGGCGACGGAACAGGCAACAAAAACGGCGTCGAAACCGGTGACAAACAAGGCAACACTGAACGGGTAAAAATCGGCCCTGTCCTTTACCAGTCCAGACATCCGGCGTCTCGATTTGTTCGAGACACGGGCCCCCGACTTCTCGACCACTTCCCCAGGGCCGGTTCTCCCTCCCGAGTCGTTTTTGGACGGTCCCGAGGCCCTGCGAGAGCCCCTGGAGGCCCGAAACTACAAACAACCCGTGTCTCGAGCTTTTCGAGACGCCCGATGTCTGGGAATACACTTGTGGACCTCTCACCTTCAGCTCGTACGAGAAGATGATGTCGGAGCCAGGCCGGAGCGCCGCCCCGGCCCCCTTCTGGACGACCTTGCCGTCGACCGAGACGGGGTTCGTGCCACAGGCCGTGAGCCAAGCCTCGTCGGCGCCCGGGGCCCAGGACACCTCGATGGCCTTCCTGACAGGGTGTCGCCAGAGCACCGTGCAGGTCGAGCGCCCTGCTTCCCGAGGGACAGCGCGAGGGGCGGTTTTGCGTTTCCGTGTTCTTGCCGTCTCCCCCTCGGTTTGCCTTCGTGGCTCCTTCGCTGCAGAGCACAGCCAGAACAAAACGCCCCGCGGAGTCGCCAGAACACCGTGCAGGTCGAGCGCCCTGTCCCCGAGGGACAGCGCGAGGAGCGGACCTGGTCTTTGAACCCTGAGGCCCGACGTCGCGAAACAAACATAGGAACAAGTCGGGCACGTCCCTCCAGAGGAGGAATATTCAAACATAGTCCAACCATAGGCTGGGGACGATCTTCTGACTAATTATGATGTTTGAGCATGCTTTGAGTATGTTTGGTTTGTCTTCCACAATCCGCCTGTAGGAGGACGCGCCCGACCTAAAAATAGAACTATCGACAAACATCACGACTGGAGCTCTAGACCCCATCTTTCGGCGCCGTGTTCGACCCTTGTCGATCTGTGATGGCCTCAGGGCCCAAACACCGCCGAAAACGCCCGGCTCGACAGAGTTGAGACGCCAGGATCTCAGCATATCTGAAAGGCCTGGCCCCCATCTTGGAGCCCTGGACCCTGAGATGCGCTTGGGAAGGCCCAAACGTACCCACAGGACAACGTGCCCCCAGGGGGGTGGCGCAGCGGCCGCGGCTCCAGCCGGAGCGCCAAAACGCAGCCGCTGGGCGTCCCGAGGTGAGGCCTGAGGCCAGGGGGAAGAGTCTAGCTTTGGGGGGAACCATCCACCTGGAATCGGAGATACATCGCCGATAGATCGGCAATAGGCTTAGGTCGGGCGTGTCCTCCCACAGGCGGATTTTGGACGAAAAATGAAAAATTGTAAAAACACACTCCAAAATTATCAAATGGTTTTAAAATAACCTCCTCCCCAGACTATGTTGGACTATGTTTGAATATTCCTCCTGTAGAGGGACGCACCCGACTGAAGGCCAGGGGGGGGGTCTAGCTTTGGGGGGAAACGTCGACCTGGCATCGGCGATACCTCGCCGATAGCTCGGCAAGAGGCCCCCGAGAGAGCGAATCCGCACTCTCCTGTGCGGGGATGGGTCTCGGGTCCACCGCCGAGAACCATCCTCATCCACCTCCTCCTCCTCCTCCTCCTCCTCCTCCACCTCCCCCCCTCCGCCGAGAACCAACAGAAACACGCGACAGGCTCAAACCTCGAACACCCTGGACCTTTGCCCCTCAATGTCGCAGGCGTCCAAAAGGGGGGCGTCCAAGAGGGCCGAGGACCGACGGAAACGTATGAAGACCTCCAACCTCGAAACTTCGTCCTCTCCGAGCCCATCCCTCACTACTGTTGCCCCTGGCGTCCGCGACACGCAGCTGCGCGAGGACACGTCGGGGAGCCAGGCCTCGAAGAATTCTGCCTGGTGGTGGCGGCCGATCTGCTGCGTCACCTTCCCGCCGCGCGCGAGTGGCCCCAGAGCGTACGAAGAACCTAACTGCATAAGCTCTTGGATCGTTGCTGGCCCCCTCCTGGCGCGCCGGAGGCGCCGCCAGAGGGGGGCAGCGCAGACCCAGATCGCAGCGCCGACTGTTCAGGTTGTAATGTATGTTTCTTTCTTTGACAGGAGGGGGGGAAACAACTCTTGGGAGCTCTTCGTAGGAGAGATTGGCAACTTCAACACCAGATTCAAGGGGCCATTAAGCTGGACGTCGCCCAGGAATATACCCGACTAAACGCGAATAAGCTGGATGACCAGGGCTTCGTCTGGATTCGACGGGATTGCGCCGGATGGGGCCGGCTCTCGACCACGGATCTGCCAGCGCCGATGCTGCACTCAGACTCCCAGGAATGCACCCTCATGGGAGGCGAGGGGTGGCCTTTGATACGACGCTTCAGGGAGGCGCGGGAGGGTGGGAGCAAGTCCACGCGCACATGCCAGTGCTGGGAGGGGGGGTCACGCCAAGAGGTCACTCCAGCGAAGGGCCACTCACACCAGAGGAAATTGCACTTTCGGAGGTCCGCGCGGACTTCGTGGGTCGGTGCTGGAAGCCCCGCCACTGGCCAGCGAGCGCACGCGCGCCAGCGGCGGCGCAGCCACGAGTGGGGTTCGGCCCCAGATGGGCGCATGGGGTCCAGGGAAGGGGGCTCCGCGCCGATCCAAGACATCCGCGCGGACCTCCGAAAGTTCCTGCATTCGTAACTTGCACGATTTAGGGGGAGAGTCCTCCTGGTGGTGAGCATCCCTCTGCTTCACAGCGTCCTGCTCAAAGCATTCGGATCCCCCGGCTTGGAGTGGCACCTTTGTCCTCTTCGCTGGTGGTGGACCGTTGGTGGTGGTGTGACCTCTCCCCCTTCCCTCCGAAAGGCGGTGGTGCGGCCGAGCGGCACTGAGTCTGACTCCACAGAGAACAAGCGGCTGTTCTCTCTCGACCTTCCATGTTCCATACATCCAACGCCGTGGTTGTCGTTCACAGTCTTGCCCCCAGAATTCTGGACCTCTTCCTGCGGACCAGCTTCTCGTCCCAGGTAAGATCATGACCCGAGGCACGCGCGCGGCCCATGGCGGGGTAACGGACACACAGAAAGAAGAAAAGGGTGGCTCTTGTGTGTCGGGTCCTCGTTTTGAATTCGCAGCGCCGAGCGTATCCCTCCTCCACATTCTTCTCTTCCTCCTCCTCCTCCTCATCCTCATCAACATCATAATTACCACCAGCACCACCATCATCATCATCATCATCATCATCATCATCATCATCATCAGCATCAGCATCATCATCATCATCATCATCATCGTCGTCATCATCATCATCGTCATCATCATCATCATCATCATCATCATCATCATCATCATCATCATCATCATCATCATCATCATCATCATCATCATCATCATCATCATCATCATCATCATCATCATCATCATCATCATCATCATCATCATCATCATCATCATCATCATCAACCACACCATCCATCCATCCCCCTCCTCTTCCTCCTCCTCCTCTACCTCCTCTTCCTCCTCCTCCTCCTCCTCCCCCTCCTCCTCCCCCTCCTCCTCCCCCTCCCTTCACATCCCCGTCATCATCATCGTCTTACCTTTTCGCATTTCGACACGCACCTCACACGCTTCGTGGCCAGACAGGAGTGAGGAACTCCCCGACAACCACACTGGCTGTGCCCAGAATGGTTGTCGGGGAGTTCCTGTGTCGGCAGACCCGTGACACGCTTCGTGGTTCCATGGGTAGCTCCACCGAACGGCCCAGCGTCTGAATCCGTATGTGGTCCAACCCCGCTGCTGCAGACCACTCAAAAGCTTTGTGGCCCCATGGGGAACTTCACCGAAAGCCAACGTGGCTGCGTCCGCACGCGGCAACCACCCAGCGTTGGCTGGCCCATCACACGCGTTGTGGCCCCGAAGGGAACTCCACTGAGGCTCCCAGTGGCTGCGTCCCCATGCGGCTCCGCCATGTGACGGCAAACCCCCCACACGCTTCGTGAACAGGGTGCCCCCAGGGAGGTGTCGCAGCGGCCGCGGCTCAAGCCACGGCGGGCGCCAAAACGCAGCCGAGGGGCGTCTCGAAGTGAGCCCTGGGGCCGGGCGGGTCTGGCATATAAAGGGGGGGCATCGGCCCTGATCCAGCGACTCATCGCCCATACCCGAGATGGGTCTTTAGAGCCCCCCAATGGTCGAAACGAATTATTCTCTTTTGACGCCCTTGTTGACGGACTGGGGGCCCACCAACCGTGGAAACTGTGTATTTCTCCGCGGCTCGGATGCCGCAGGAGGAGGACGAGGAGCAGGAGCAGGAGCGAGGTTCCCTGAGGGCGGTTCGGTTTCGCCTACGGGCGCAGCGGGCGCGGGAGCGCCGGGCCACTCAGGGTCGAGGAAGTCCACGTCGACGTAGGCGGAGTGGACGAGAGTGCTGGGCAGTCCGGGTGGTCGACGGTGCCGGCGGTGAGGCCGTCAGGGCGGTCGACGTCGTCGAGGTTGAAGGTGAGAGCATCCGTCTCCGCGCCCGGAGCGACAGCAGAGACGGTGGCCGCGGGGACCGCCGCTGCGAGGTCGGGAAGGGCGGCCATCACCGCCCGCAGCCATCATCGCCGACCAGGGGGGGGGCGGCAGCACGAAACCGCAACACTCACCACCCAGGCGAAGGTCCAACTCGCTAGGGGCAGCCCTCCGCAGGAACAGCGGTGGAGACGGAGTAAGCCCGGAACAGCCAGAACAGGTATCCCGCCACAGCCTCTCAGAGACGTGCGTCGCCTCGATGACCGCGTCGGCGCCTATTGGGAAGTCCGACTGGTAGGCCTTGGGCGCATCCTGCATGGATGTCTTGCGCCTCCGAGGAGCGAGGGTGTTCGTAGCCCTCTGGCAAATACGCGACACAATTGCACCCATGACCTCCTGCTTGGACTGCTTCGTGTCGTTCTCTAGGCAGGTAATGGCTATGCGCCTAAGCCAGAGCAGAAACGGCAGTGCAACCACCACCAGCTCCAATAGCAGGAGCATGCTCGTGTGCATGACCACCATGCGTGTCACAGCTCCCAGCAGCCGCCGTGTCCGCCCCCAGAGAAGGAGGACGCGGGACGCTGGAAGCTCTCGCAGATGGTGACCAGCCAGGTACCAGAGATCCGACTTGCTTGTGCGAGCGGCTCCAGGCACTCGTAGACCGCGTGCGGCGCCGAGACGTCCGAACATGGCGATGCCCAGGCACAAGTCCACGGCAAAGCTGTAATGCCCGCGCGGCACTGCCAGACAAGCGCCCGGCAGGAACACCAGATACTCTGGCATTAGGTCGGTGAGGCGCAGGAGTGCTTACATCAGCGTCGGCATCTGGTGTGTGCGGATGTTCGCCACCATCGGCGGCAGCAGCAGGAACGTGCAGAGGAGCGTCACCATCATGAAGCTCGTCAGGAACGGGGCTATGCGGAGGTTCACCGCTATCACCGTGGAGCGCGCTATGAGCTCGGCGAAGCGAGCAAACGCCGCCAACGACAGTAGCGGCAGCAACGTGCTGGAGAGATTCAGCACCATGAGGCTCTTCAGGGACAGGGTCATGCGGAAGAAATGGATGGAGCAGCTGTTCGCCACCAGCGGCGGCAGCAAACACGTGCAGAGGAGCGTCAACACCATGAAGCTCTTTAGGAGCGAGGTCATGCAGGTCGCCGTGACGCACACCAGAAACAGGGTCATGCGTATGAGCGCCGCCATCGACAGCAGTAGCAAGAGCGAGCAGGAGGGCGCCAGCACCGTGACGCGCACCATAAACGCGGCGATGCGAGCTAACGCCGCCACCAAGGGCAGCGGCAGGAGCGTGCAGGAGAGCTTCAGGGCCAAGAAGGGCTTGTTGTCCGCCACCAAAAGCAGCATGTGGAGAGAGGCCTCGCGCCTCCACGATCAGAGACAGGTGGTGGTGGCGGGCCAGCGCCGCCGCGGTGGAGATGACGACAGCAGCCGACGCCGTCAGCTGCGGAAAAGAGGCCTCCCAACGCTGGTGTCGATGGTGCACCCGCCAATCCCTTATGTCCAGGAAATTCGCCACCAGCGGCGGCAGCGACCGGAGCATGGTCATGCAGAAGGTCTGGTCGAGGCCGATGAGCGCCACCAGCGGCGGCAAGTGCAAGAACGGGTTCACAAAGGAGAACTGGCTGATGCAAGTGCTCGCCACCAATGGCGGCAGCAATAGGTACGTGCAGAAGAGCATCATCGCCAAGAAACGCTCCAGGAGCGACGCCAGCGACAGTAGCGAGCAGGCGAGCTTTAGCACCTAGCGGCGCTTGACGTTCGTGGTGTCCGCGGATGCAGCGTGCGACCTTCGTCAGCTCGTCGCACGGGCACACTCCTAGGGGGATGAGCTGGAGCGGCGCGATGGGCAGGGCCCCTCGTTCGTGACGAAGACGAGGCTTCAGCTGAAGGCGCGTCGGAGGGCGCATTGGAGGGCGCGGCATCGCCGAATACGAAGGCCTGTCGGCGACCGCGTGTGTGGCATGGCGACGCAGCAGCCAATGACCACGCCCAGCCAATCCGGGCCACCGCACCACTCCCAGGGAAACGGCGGGCAGGTCCGACAAGGCAGCCGGGAGCACCAGGCACGGGCGGCCTCGAGGAAGATGGCCATGGAATGCATTTCGGCCCAGCTGGGAAGGCATCCCACTTTGGCCAAAAAGCCCAGCGCGCGCCCGACGGGCGCTCTGCGCGGCCCAGGCCTCGCGGTGGACCGCTCCTCCTCTTGATGGGCCTATTTTCCACCACCACTACCATAGGTAGGAGAGGGAGGAGGAGGAGGAGGAGGAGGAGGAGGAGGAGGAGGAGGAGGAGGAGGAGGAGGAGAGGAGGAGGAGGAGGAGGAGAAGAGAAGGAGGAGGAGGAGGAGGAGGAGGAGGGAGGAGGAGGAGGAGGAGGAGGAGGGGAGAGGAGGAGGAAGAGGAGGCGGCCAAGCAGAAGAAGGAAGAGGAGGAGGAGGAGGGAGGAGGAGGAGGAGGAGGAGGAGCGGAGTTCATTGTCCGCAGCGGGAAATTAAGGCGGGGGGATCCCCGAAACTACAGAGCTCCTGAGGGTACCATCGGCAACTATAGGCCCCCGACGGCACATCCGCTCGACTCCGCACGATCCTGGGCAGGTTTGTGTGCTATCGGGTCCCAATCGGCGATCACAGGGCGATGGGGGGGTCGATGCCAGGGCTGGACCTACACGCTGTTGTTCGTTGTGTTTTCGTTTTGTTGTTCGTTCTGCTTACCCTGTTCTCCTGCACCTCCCGGCCAAAACGAAAAACTGAACACAGCCGAGGTCCAGCAAACCAGCGTTGAGGTCCAGCCCTGGTCGATGCTTCCCCCGAGCCTGTCGCCCCCCCCCCCCCCCTAGCGTTGCCCGCTGGCTGCCAGTCACAACTCGGCCCTGCAGCGGCACTCAAGCACGAACGGGGCACTCCCGCAACGCCCTCGGCAAGGCGCAGCCGATGGAAGGCATCCCGAGGCTAGAAAACCTGCGAGAACCAGAAGAATCGCGTGTCCCCCTGATTCCGCACAGTCCTGGGCAGGTCTGTACTATCGAATCCCCGTCGGCGATCCAGGGGCGCTTGGGGGTCAATGCACCCCCGCCTGAGCCTGTCGCCCACCTAACGTTGCCCGCTGCTCCCTCCCGGGGGGGCCGTTCGGGACGATCTGGGCACCCCCAGAATGCTCTCGGCGAGGCGCAGCTGGTGGAACGCATTTCGAAGCCAGAAAAAATCGAGAACCGCCCGAAAACCTCGTCCTCCCTGAGCCTTTCCTCCCGAATGTCGGGGGCGTCCAAAAGGGGGCGTCCAAGAGGGCCGAAGACCGACGAAAACGTGTGAAGACCTCCAACCTCGAAACTTCGTCCTCTCTGAGCCCATCCCCCCCTAATGTTGCCCCTGGCGTCCGCGACACGCAGCTGCGCGAGGACACGTCGGGGAGCCAGGCCTCGAAGAAGGCGTATCCCCCCTCTTTCGTTCAGAGGCCTCCCAGCGGGGGTCGGAGCAGCTGGGGTTGGAGGACCGCGCCGCATCGCCGATGCATCGGCGATGCACAGGCGAGGCATCGTCGACGTGGGCGACGCATCGGCAACGCCGACGTGAAGCAGGTCGGGCTCCGCGTCGAGCGGCATCGGCGATGCCTCGGCGACGCAGCGCGATGCTCCGCCCCCGCCTGCCGCAACCCCCTCCGGGAGGCCTCGGTCGCTGCCCCTGCGGCGCGCGCGGCCGAGCCTTGCCGTCGGGCCCGGGCAGGCAGCCGGCCGCCGCGGCCAGGGGCAGCTGGCGCAGCAGCGGCGACACGGCCTCCGCGGCCTGGCCGTGGGCCGCCACGAGCTCCAGGAAGAAATCGGGGTCGAGGGCCTCGCCGGCGTGGAGGATGGGGGCGGATCGGAGCGGGTGTAAAGCCAGAGCTCCCACGACGCCCACAGTGGGTCCCGAAATAGTGTATAAGTAGCCCACAGCGCCTCAGCCGTGGACTCCCCGCCTCTTCTGGGGGTCGGCGCGAAGGCGAAAGCCACTCGAATGGAAGGCTGAACGTCAGCCTGTATGGCAAAACAAATGCAGCCTGCATGGAAGAACAATTGCAGCAGTGGGATGCAGATGCGACAGCTTAGCTGATCTAGGGAGCGGAGGGGGCGGAGGAGGAGAGCAGCGAGGAGGGCAAACATGGAATGCACTTCTCGGCGTGTGCGTGTCATCCTTGCGCTGGGGCCACGCTCGTATTCTCTGCATCGTTCCAACTTGAAAGGAAGAGAGTGGATAGGAGGACACGGAAGGCGATGAACAGGAGGATGAGGCGGAGGAGGATGAGGAAGCCGAGGGCGATGAGATAAAAGAGGAACACACGAGGACGAGGCGGTCCAGGAAGGGGAGACGGAGGTTGAGTTTCAGGGGAGCGATGGCCAGAGAAAGAACATGTACTGATATCGTTGCCCTTCCAGAACTTCCGCCTTCTTGGGCCACCTGGGAGGCCCTTGTCGCCACGGCCGGGTTCGCTTCGAAAAACCCTGGTCCGAATGCACCATTGGAGAGGTCCGGGGAGTAGCTGTATCGGTTATCCTGGGGCTTCCCCATACAAGGAGGACACGGAAGACGAAGGCAAAGAGGAGGATGAGGCTCACGAACAGAGCATCGGTCTGGGGGGATGAGGCCGAGGACGCCGCCATCCGAAAAGGGTTCTACCACATTGCACACGCAAGGGACACAAGTAGGGGGGGTAGCGACTAGACGCGGGGAAGAGGTCGAGGCCCTTGTCGACGACCCTCCCCGTCGTGCCTTCGAGGCCGACGACGCAGAGGAACACGAGGAGGACGAGGAGGCCGAGGAGGAAGCTGACGCAGAGGAGGACGAGGAGGCCGAGGATGAGTAAGGGAAGAACGAGGATGAGGCCCAGGACGAGAAAGAGGAGGACGAGGAGGAGAAGGAGCACTAGCAGGAGGAGGAGGAGGAGGAGGAGGAGGAGGAGGAGGAGGAGCACTGGCAGGAGTAGGAGGAGGAGGTCGAGGCTAATGAGCCTCCGTGGGGCCGTTGGCGACGGCGGGCCGCACTGGCGTCGCGGGGGCCACGGGCGCCTCCTGCTGGCAGGCCCGAAGCCCTGACCGGCATCTGGGGCGTGCTGGGGACTTCCACCGGGCCTTGGGCGTCGCTTCGCAGTGGAGGCCAGCCCACAAGAAGCCTTCCATAGGAAACCCAACCCTGAGACCCCAGGGCGTCGATTGACTTGCGGTGTGGGAACGTCACGCTTCCCATCGGCAAAAAACATCGAAAGCCAAGAAGCCCAGAGGACCCTGGAGGCGAGCAGGGTTTTCTTGGAGGGGGGGCATGGGTCTCCACTGCGTGGGTCGGGGGCGCGCAAACATGGATTAGCGATCCGTGGATTTGGCGCGCGGTCGCCAAATCCGTGGATCGGGGGAGGGGCCCTCCCCAAAATGCGGCCGGTGCCGCCACGTTCGGCGGCGGAAATCCGCGGTTTCCCACGGAAACGGGGCCCGTCGCTAATCCACGCCCCCTTGATACATGTTTGCGATCGCCTGACCTGTGGCCTGCGCGCTCTCCACACGCGCCCGCGGCGCACTCTTGCGAGGACTCCCCCCGAGGGAGGGGGAGGAGGCGGAGGAGGAGGAGGAGGAGAGGCAGGAGGAGCAGGAGGAGGAGGAGGAGGAGGAGCAGGAGGCGGAGGAGAAGGAGGAGGGGAAGGAGGAGGAGGAGGAGGAGGAGGAGGAGGAGGAGGAGGAGGAGGGGAGGAGGAGGAGGAGGAGGAGGAGGAGGAGGAGGAGGAGGAGGAGGAGGACTGAGAAAGATGCACTCCGCCTTGACCCCTGAGCCCCCCATTGAGGGCACTCTGAGGGCACCTTCTTCCTGCGGCCCTCGGCGCCCCGCCCCTGTGTATCTGAAGGGGCCCAGGGACCCACATAAATACACACGATTCCCAATAACTTGCCATACTTTCTTGGTTTCTGTCTTCCCCCCCACTCCCTACATGTTCGCATATTGTCTTGGAAACCGGTGATGATTTGTGTCTGTGTTTCTCCCCCTCCTGAGTACCGCCACCATCCCATGGTGCGACGCCCGCAGCCCTTGGCCGGCGGCGAGCCGGGGGGGAAGCGAGAAGGGGCGTGATGGACCTGCTTTCCACCACCACCACCACCATAAGTTGGATGGGGAGGGGGTCCTCCTCCTCCTCCTCCTCCTTCTCCTCTTCGTCCTCCTCCTCCTCGTCCTCCTCCAACTTATGGTGGTGGTGGTGGTGGTGGTGGTGGTGGTGGTGGTGGAAAACAAGCCCATCAGAGCGGGCCTCTCGGGCGGGTGGCAATGACGGGTAACCCCAATGGGGGGGTGAAGACAATGGCCCTCAAAGGGCCCTCCATGGTCCCTTTTGGAGCCAGCTGGTGCCCCGAAGGGGCCCTGCAGGGCCCCATTTAGGGAGATCTTCCCTTCATCCCCCATGAGGGTCACCCCCCATTACCACTCGCCCGAGCCTCCTCAGAAGGCTCGGAAGTCCCCCCGGACTCCCGATGAGTGTTCCAAACCCTCCCCGAAGACATAGAAAACCTCTCAGAAGGCCGAAGGGCTTCCGAGAGGCCCCGCCGCTTTCTGAGAAGGCATTCTACTTCTCACTTCCCCCCCCCCTCGCTCGCCGCCGATGTTGGTGTGAGCGTACGGCTGGCTGGCTCATGCGGTGCCGACTTCGACGCTGGTTCCTGACACCGAGAGGATCGTTCAACGTCGAACGATCGGCCACTTCTGATCAAATCTTTCAACATCAGCCGGCTCGGGGTCGCAGGCGGCGTCCAAGTTTGAACTCTGGCGTCGGGGTCGCCGCCAGTCGATAGGACGCGAGTTTACTGCAAGCGGCTTGCGATCGCGAATCCTTGCTCAGCGTGTCGCGGCGGCGGCCCCGGCGACACGTCGTGCCCTGCGATCGGATGGCGTGCCGCTCCGCTCCGCGGGGCGGGAGACGGGGACTGGCGCGGGACGTCGGCGTTCGGGGTCCGGGCCGTGGATAAGCGTGTGGTGCCGCAGCGTGGTGGGCCAGGACCGGCGGAGCGACACGCCACGTAAGCTGCTGCTCCCGACCGTAGGGAGATACAGACAGCGCGAACGCAGCATCCCGCAGTTGCAGATGAGAGTGAGCTCTGACCAAGCTCTGCAAGGCTCTGACAAAGCCCGCCGCAGGCGCCGATTTTTTACACACTGCGGAGAGAACCCCCAGCAGGCGTCGATTTGGTTCGTCTAAGCAACGTGGGTGGGCCGCGGGAGGGTCGCGGGCAGGTGGGTCGCGAGGTGGGTCGCGGGGGGCGTCGCGGGGGAACGACAACAACAACACCAATCATTTTAAGACTCTTCGCTCCAATCTGCTCGCGTGCCCTTTGACACTTACATCCCAACCCGCCCTCTTCGTCTACGATCGTACTCCCTTGGGGGCATATCTTCCTCACCTGGCACGTGCATGTAGTGCAGCCAGCCTCTATAACAGGGGGAGGACAGATCGAAGGAGGAGGGAGAAGGATGGAGCACGAGAGAAACTAGCAGAAGGGGGGCTAGGAGCAGATCGGGCGGGCAGACCCCGGCGGCCGGGTCGGGAAGGCGGGCCCGGGCGGCCAGGTCGAGCAAGGAGGTTGCTGAGGGGTGAGTCCTGCATGATCGCGAGGAAGTCTCGAGCGATAGCGCGATTTTCAATTCCTGCGAAATCCCGAAGCAAGGGTCTGATTCCTGAGTGTCGATAGAACAGCGCCTGAACAAATCGTGTGGATCTCCCACGCGACGGAACGACTCCTGCTTACCTTGTGAAGAAGTCCCGCGCGAGAACGCGACTCTGGAATACATCGTGAGGAAGTACCAAGGGGGAGCCGTTGTTGCTGTAGCCTGGAGGGCAGGGGGCCAGATTTGAGCAGGAGGACTTCCCCTGATGAAGAACAAGGTGCGAGCCCCGAGGGGGGCACGGAATTCAGAGAGACATTGTGCACCAGGGGCGGATCAACCATCAACAGTCTGAGGCTTCCTTCAAACAATAACCACCACAACAGCAGCAGCAACAGAAACAGCAACAGCATCAACAACAACAATAGCAACAGCATAAACAGCAACACAACCACCAACAACAACAGTACGAACACCACCGACGACAACAGCACAAACAACAACAGCAGCAACAAGAAGAGCAACAGCAACAACAATATGAACAACAACATGAACAACAACATGAACAACAACATGAACAACAACAGCACCACCGCCAACAACAACAGTAGCAGCAACAACAACAACGAAAGCAATAACAACAACAGCAACAACAACAACAGCAACATCAACACCACCAACAACAGCAGCAACAACAACAACGACAACAACGACAACAACAACAACAACAACAACAACAACAACAACAACAACAACAACTGTAACACCAACAATAGCAACAACAACACACAAGAAAACATCAGGGCAACGAACTACTAATTCAGCCGCGCTGCCAGGCATGGTGAAAGACCGCTAGCCCCCCTCTTTCGGACACTGAGAGATCGTGGTGTCGTAAATCCTGGGACGCCGAATCAGCCGACCGTTGACGGTCCCAAGGGTTATTTTGCTCCCATCGCACTTCAAAACCACATCCCAGATATAATTTAGAGCACCTGGAAAAGTGTAGGAAGAGTGTCAAGACAGTGTCAAAAGAGTGTCTCCCAGGGCACGACACGTGAGAACCCTTGAGCTTGGGGGCACTGTCCTGGTGCTCGAAATTCCTTCTGGTGGGCAAGGCTACAGTGGGTTGGGACATCCTAACCCAAAGGGTCCCTCCCGGAGCTGCCCTGCTGCCATCGGGGCACGGGGGAGCTCCCGTGGGGCATCTGCCTGCAGGCGGACTCCCCATTTGACGGGCCTTCTGCCGCTCTCCCAGCCTAACCTCTGGAGGCCCCCCAGAGGGGGTCGGAGCGCCCAGACCCCCGACGCCATGCTTTCGTCATGACGTCGCCCCTCGAGGGTTTTCGGTTCTCCATCCCGAGTCGCTTGTGGACGGTCCCGAGGCCCGGTGAGAACCCCCCCAGAGGCAGGACATATCTGAACCAACAAAACTCCCGTCATGTTTCTTTCGTGGCCCGAAGGGGGTCTGGGCAGATGGGGCCCGAGGATCGCGCCGTGTCGGCGATGCATCGGCGAGGCAGCGGCGAGGCAGCCGCGACGCAACGGCGCGGAGAAAGTCGGGGCCCACGTCGAGCCGCATGCGCCAGTGCATCGGCGATGCGGCGGAACCCTCGGACCAGCACCTGCCGAGTAGGGGATCGACTACAGAATTGATCCACCCAGGATTGTTTTGATATGCTCTAGGCTCGACGAGGAAGAATCAGCACTGAGGTGAAACAACAGCAGTTCTGTAGTCGATCGCCTGACTCGAGCCTGGGAGGCCTGCAGGAGGCCTCCCGCCGCTGGCCGCACCGAGCCAGTCCTGGGCGCCCGCCGGAGACGGCGCCCCTCCGCCGGGCGACTGCGCCGGCGACCGCACCAGGCAGCGCTGCGGCTGCTGGGGCGAGGCCGGGGGCGCCGGGCCCGCCGCCAGCGCCTGCGGCGGAGGCCGGCGGGCGCGGCCCGAATGGTAGAGCGGAGGCCGGTGCACAAGAGACCTTCCACGAGAAGCCCGACCCTGAGACCCCAGGACGTGCACTGATGTCGGGAGTGGGAGCGTCACGCTCTCCATAGCAGTGGCCCATCGAAGCCCAAGAGACCCAAGGCGCCCTGGAGGCAAGCAGGGTGCTTCTTCGCATGGGTCTGGAGCCTCCCACGCCGCCTCGCCCCACACATGACCGCGTCGTAGCATCAGGTCGGGGATGTCCTCCTACAGGCGGGTTTCGGAAGAAAAATCACAGTTCATGAAACAATCATCAAGAACAGTTCAAAGCAACGAAACATCGTCACCATATTATCTTTTTATTACTCCTGAGTGATCCTCCTGTATGGAGGGACGTGCCCGACTTCATCGTAGCCCAACTCCAGCCTCGGTGACCCTCGCCGAGCCCTGGGACCGTCACCTCGACTCAGGATGAAGAGCTGGCCCCCCCGGGGGGAGTGGTGAATGCATGAAGGGCCCCCGCTGTGACAAAATCATGACGTATGGGGGCTGCGGCTGGGGCCACCTCGCTGGCTGTTGCGGGTCGGCGCTGGCCGAGGCTGGTGGACGCTGGATCGGCGCTTTCCCACCGATTGCCAGACGCCAGCGCACGCTGATGCACTCGAACAACGGAACTGCGAGGACACACTTGGCTCCCATGACTTGCTTCCGAAGCAAGCCCGGCTCGGGCCCAAGACTCTCTGTGGATAGACGTGGCACCCCACAACTGCGGGTAGAAAGGCGAAGGTTGGGTCGAGGCTGCTCCACCTCCTCCTCCTCCTCCTCCTCCTCAACCTCCTCGATCCCTCTCCTCCTCCCCCTGCTCCTCCTCCTCCTGCTCCTCCTGCTCCTCCTCCTCCTCCTCCTCCTCCTCCTCCTCCTCGGGGGTCGCGGTTGGATCGCAGGGCGAGTCGCGGGGGGGAGGGTCGCGGGGGGGGGGTCCGGGGGCGCTGGCTGGTGCGGCCCAGCCTCTGCAGACCCATCTTTGGCCCAAGCCTCTGTGGATGTGCGCCACCGTGCCTCTGGGCACGGAGTGGGCGTGTCCTCAGGTCCGTTTGGTGGGCCTGTTTTCCACGGCCACCACCAAAAGTCGGAGGGCCACCCCCTCTTCTTCTTCCTCCTCCTCCTCCACCTCCTCCTTCGTCCCCATCCAACTTATGGTAGTGGTTGGGGAAAACAGGCCCATCACCTTTGCCTCATCCTCTGAGCCTCAGTCCTCGCTCCCTCCCCCTCATTCGTCTGGACCTTTTTGCCCGAACCCTCCTCTGAGTCTCAGTCCTCACTTTTGAAGAGTCTTCCAAAGGGCCCGGAACCCAAATGCTCACTCAAATTCACCGGGGCTTCTCGCGTGCCACTCTTCTCGGGCCCAAGGGGGCCCCAAGACGGGCCAAGAGGGCCCCGAGCGGCCAAGAAGCCCTGGCCAGCGTCCAGTATCACGAGCTATACGTCAAGCCGTGGCGTCGAGGGCCCCTCCAGAAGCCAACCACCGTGAGATGATTTCGTTGTATGTTGCTACCATTGTACTTAAGAGCCACATCCCAGAAATAATCTCGAGCACCCAAAAATATATAGAAAAAGTGTCGAGCGAGTATCGCCTCCCAGGGCCGACACATGGAAGCCCTCCAGTTTCGGTACTTTCTTGGTGCTCAAAAATCTTTCTGGTGATCAAGGTTAGCTAGGTTAGCATCATAAGTTTCGCTGTCGCTTCTAATGAACTGGGCCCTGGGCAGCGGGGGTGTTGGGGCCTTGGGCCCCTGGTAACAGGGCAAGGTTAGGTCGGTCATGTCCTCGTACAGACGGATTTTCAGGACAGTTCAGAAACATTAAACAATTCTCAAACATAAGCGCAAAACATGAATACATAGTGCCCACAACCATTGCTTGCTATTTTTGGATATCCCCCCCTGTAAAGCGTCAGGCCCGACTTTAGCTTAGGTAGGCCACGTCGACACGTCGCGGTGGCGACGCACTGCGATCGCCGTAAGATACGCGATCGCGCCGTAAGATACGCGATCGCGCGATACTGCTGGGAGGTCTTCGCCGGAACGATTTAAGAGAGAATTGCCCATCTTGGCGGCGCGCACAAGGGGGTGGAGGGATGGGGGAGGGCTTCTTAGAAGGAGGCTGCTTCGTAGAAGGCGCCGGCCTTACATCTATAGAGAAGGCCCGCCCCTTCTAAGAAGCAGGGGTGCTTCTATTAAGCCCTCCCCCCTCCCCCCACCCCCCTCTGCACGTGGCCGACCATCGGTCGGAAGACGTAGGTAGAAACGTGAAGTAGGAAGGTGTTGAAAACAGATTGGGTGTCCCACCCCCTGAAGAGGACGGGAAAGGTGAAGTCCCTCGATCATTGAAGTAGGAAGGCGCTTCAAGTAGACTGGAATCTGGGAATCCACAAATACCTACTTTCAACGACCGATGGGGAAGCCCAATTGGGCAGCTGTTACGCACAATTCGGCCGCGGACTAAGCGGGATTGAGCCGGATGAAATGGGATTCAGCGGGATTCAGCGGGACTAAGCCAAATTTTGGACCAGGGCAAGGTCAGAACTTGACCTCCTAAGAGTTGCTTCCGAACCTATATGCAATCGTCACCGTTAGCCCGGGGGATGGGGGAACCGAGGGGGGTTCGGCCCGGATAACGACCGTCACGCGCCAGAGGATGAAACAACAGTCTTGGTTCGGGCATGTCCTCCTACAGGCGCATGTTTGGAATAACAATAAGACAATCAACTAATCACCGAAAGTCGTCCAAAAAGCACGAAACATCGCCACCATATCAGAGTGAGGGAGGGGGCTGAACCGAACGGTCATTCACTGTCCCTGGGTGCGTGACTGAAGTGGAATTCACCGATGCGGATTGTTTTTGTTGTTGTTTGTTGTTGTCATCGTCCCACCCGCGACCCGCCCCGCGACCCACCCGCAACCCACCCGCGACCCACCCGCGACCCACCCCGCGACCCACCCCGCGACCCACCCCGCGACCCACCCCGCGACCCACCCCGCGACCCACCCGCGACCCACCCGCAACCCACCCGCGACCCACCCCGCGACACACCCCGCGACTCACCCACGACCCACCCCGCGACCCGCCCCGCGACCCACCCCGCGACCCACCCCCGACCCACACCCCCCCGCGACCCACCCCGCGACCCACCCCGCGACCCACCCCGGCGAACACCGCGACCCACCGCGACCCCGCCCGCGACTCACCCACGACCCACCCCGCGCCCGCCCCGACCACCCCGCGACCCCCCCCGCGACCCCGCCCGCGACCCACCTCGCGACCCACCTCGCGACCCACCCGCGACCCACCCGCGACCCACCCGCGACCCACCCCGCGATCCACCCGCATTGCTTTACTGAAAAAATCGGAGCCTGCGGCGGGCTTCTTCAGAGCCTCGCAGACTGACGACGTCCTCGCCGCCCCCTCACTCTTATTTGTTTGAACTCCTCTTGGATGTTCCTCCTACATGCCCGACTTAACAATCAGCTCCACTCACGATCTCGGCGGCGTGCAGAGGGGGGTGGAGGGAAAGGGGAAGGCTTCTTAGAAGGAGGCTGCTTCTTAGAAGGCGGCAGCCCTACATCTACAGACAAGGCCTGCGCCCTCTAAGAAGCTGGGGTGCTCCTAAGAAGCCTTCCACCCTCCCCCTGCCCCCTCTGCGCGTGGCCGACCCCCCTCTGCTTGGAGACTGTTTTCTTAATCGGCGACAGCCCGGGTTATCCGTGTGTGGGGGGGAGAGGCCGGCCGAGAACCCAACCTTCGCGCTGTGGGCAGCCCTGCATATGCCCGCGCCCCCCAACCCCGGACCTGCACAACCGGCAAGGTTAGGTTCTCCTGGGAGGGGGGGGTCGAGGGGGGGCAAGCCCCCCGACAATCCGGGTTATCGCCGGGCCTAAAAAAAAACTCTCTTGCACGACCGGCAAGGTCAGGTTCTCCTGGGAGAGGGGGGGGGGAGGGGGGGGGGCAAGCCCCCCGACAACCCGGGCCATCGCCGGACCCCCCCAAAAAATGGTCTCTTGGTGGCCGTGGCCGGTCTCCCTCTCCTGGCCTGTGCCGCGGGCCCCCGCTGCGCCGTCTGCAGGGGCGCCGCCGCCGCGCCGGGCGGGTTCCGCGCCGCCATGCTCCGCAGCGAGCGCACGACCTCCACGAAGACGGGGCGGCTGCGCTCGTCGTGGGCGTGCACGGCCCGGAGCGCCAGGGTGCCGAACTCGGCACCGAGCCTGGGCATCCCCCAAACAGAAATCTCCCGCGAGGTGGCCGCTTTGCACCCCGCCCCAGAATCTTGCGCGCCAGGTGGCCGCTTCTCGCCGCACGCCGCCGCCTCGAGCGCGGCCCTTGCGGCCCAGGGAAAGCTGCCGAGGCGGTCGGGACCTCTGGGGTCGCAGGAGGAGGCACTCAGAGCGGCGGATGCCACGAAGGGCCAACCTTCAACCACCACTACCACAGGTAGGAGAGGGAGGAGGAGAGGAAGAAGGGGGGGAGGAGGAAGAGGACCTCCTAATCCACCCTTCCCCCTTACCTACCTAATTATGGTAGTGGTGGAACATCGCCCCATCATGTCATGGACTGCGGGGTGGGAGCAGTCCAAGATCACTCCAGTAAGGCTTCGCTCGTAGCTGTTTTTGCGCTCGGTGGCATGGGCGTGATTTGTTTCAGCGACATCGGGTTCCAACATAACAAATAATCGGACTAAACAAATATTAGCTGTTCGTGGTTGCGTGATCAGCTATGTTGTTGTTAGCCTTTTCCATTCAAGTGATTGCGTTGTTCAGCATTGCCGTCTGCGCTGTCCTCGGCTCCTTCTCCGTGCGTCTCGTCCTCCCGAACATTGTATTCTGTCTTATGCGTGTGCTCTTCTCCGACAGTCTGCTGGCTGGCCGCGGGGCCTCCGGGCCTCTTGCGCGCCAGGGCGCTGTCATGGTGCACCCCAGAATCTAGAGCGGTAAAAAGCAAACCTCAGGGCGACTCTGGGGTCAAGCAAGCAGCAAGGAAGAGCATTAAAGCATACAGGGAAGGAGGAAGCGGTCGAGTCGGATTGAAGAACGATGGTACGTCGGAGGACCGAGGAAGACCGCAAGGAAATGAATCGGTATTGCATGCGGGCGCTGGCGTGAGCTTGCAGTTGCAACGGGTCGGATCCCGTAACGTTCGACGGATCGGGCTGTCAAGTAGGAACTCGACCACAGGAAGCCCAACCCTGAAGCCCCAGGACGGCCATTGATTTTGGTGTGGGACGTCACGCTTTCCATAGCAAAACCATCGAGACCCGAGGAACAACGGGCACCCTGGAGGGAAGTAGGGTGTTTCTTGGAATGGGTTTCCATGGCATCGGCCCGTAGTCGAGACAGATGCGCAATACGCGCTTCGAGCCCCGGCGCCGTCGCGACGTGAAACGGTCGCGACGGGACATTTTACGATGCTAGCTGAACTTGTTTTCGGCAACCACTGGCAATCACCGGGCTCCAAGATCGTCGAAAGCAACCCTGGACAAAAGCGTGGTCTACGTAAAGAAGTCCAAACCTGAGGAGAAAGAGACGCAATACACACGGAAAAATTCCCAACCACTCAGAAAATGAACATAACCCTTCTTCACCCTTGATCGTGGAAATCAACATACCGTCAACGTCAAGATCATTATGCCGTGATTGTCGCCTGAAATCGGCGTGGCCCTCAGCAGCAAAAGGCTGTAGAAACACAACGTGCACCAAATATGGCCGTCCTGGTCCGTTGTTGCTTGCTGGATCGCACCGCACCTGGGGAGGGGACATCGACACGAGCGACGACACTTCGAGCCACAGTGGCTAAAGGCCCCCAATGTAGCACGGATAGGGCCCCAGTGCAACTAGCGTCCAAGAGGCATCCCAAAATCCCCCAACTTGGCAATTCCTGGGGGATGCTCGGGCTGAGCCTAGCTTCGGTTTGACTGGTGTACTCGCCCCTCTTCGACTCGCGATCCCCCGCCGCACTTTGTGGAACCATTCGTGGATGCGCTTGTCATCCGCCTCCTCCTCCCCCTCCTCCTCCTCGTTCTCCTCGTCCTCCTCCCTCTCCTCCTCCTCCTCCTCCTCCTCCTCCTCCTCCTCCTCCTCCTCCTCCTCCTCCTCCTCCCCTCCTCCTCCTCCTCCTCCTCCTCCTCCTCCTCCTCCCTCCCCACCCCCTCTTCCTCCTCTCCTCCTCCTCCTCCTCCTCCTCCTCCTCCTCCTCCTCCTCCTCATCCTCCTCCCCCTCCCCCTCTTCCCCTCCTCCTCCTCCTCGTCCTCCTCCTCCCCCTCCTCCCCCTCCTCCTCCTCCTCCGAAGATGGCTGCCCTCAACATGGTAACACCTCGAACTATGAACAGCAAGCCTGTGCCGCGGTCGTGGCCCAGACGCGGGCCCCGACCTCGGACGGAGGCGCCCCGAGAAGACGGATGGGCCAAAGGGGACAGCAGGATGGCGTCTGTGGACTTGGAGACCCGATGGGTGGGGTCCGCGTGGATGGAGTCGAGTGACCGCGCCGCGCCGCATCGCCAATGCGTCGCCGGATGTATCGGCGCGGCGGTGCATCGGCGAAGTCGGCGATGAATCGGCGACGTCGGCGTGGGGAAGCACGGGCTCCACACCGAGCGACATCGTCGATGCGTCGGCGACTCGGACTCCCTTCGAGAAGGTCTCAAGTCTGTGGATTGGCTGGTGTGGATGAACTTTTGGGTCAGTGGCCAAGGACTCGGCTACACGCAAGAGTGGCCCTGCGCAAGAGCGAGCTTGGGTGCGCGGCTTCAGGGGGCGGGGACGCCACATCCAAACGTGCACGCTCGCGCTTGGGGTCCCCTTGTGGGCCGGCACCAAAGGCCACTCTGGCGAAAGGCCATTCTCATGCGTAGCCGAAAGGACAAGGTCCGAGTCGGTGATACGAACGCGGGGTGCGCGCACGCGAACTGATTCCAGTGCACCAGGCAGCCGCAGGGGCATGACTTGAAGAGAGACTGCGCGCGCGGCTGGCGCGGCGCGAGGAAGGCCCGTGGTCTCAGTGCACGAAGGCTGGCGGCGGAGACACTCACGCATCGGATAGTCAAGGCTTGGCCAGTCGGGGCGATGCAACGGTCGCACACCGGTGGTGAATAAACACACGAAGGGGCACCATACATACGTATCAGTGGTACGCGTGCCCCGGCTTCTGCACGCGGAGGGTGAAGACGAGGGGTGTGCAGCCATCCTGGGGCTACCTCGGGGTCTTTTCGGGCCTGTCGGGGCCGGTGTGCGGGGCCTAGGGTCGGGGAGGTCCGAGATGGCCTGGGAGTCGGAGGCTCCGAAAAGAACACCTTCACTCCCCCGCCCCCCGTCCCGCGGTCTCCCTCCCGCGGTCTCCTTCCCGCGGGCGGCCCGTTGGGCCGCCTGGATGAGAGGAGGCGGGCGGAGGAGCAGTGGGAAGGAGGAGGAGGAGGAGAAGGAGGAGGAGGAGGAGGAGGAGGAGGAGAAGGAGGAGGAGGAGGAAGGGGAGGAGGAGGGGGAGGTCCCATCAGTGTGTCCGCGCCGGGAGACGGGATTCCACAGGCCCCGGGGCGCTGCGCAGGCCAGGAGGCGCAGGCATCCAGCGCGCGGCAGCACCGGTCGATGGCACCTGCGGGGACCAGAGGGAGGAGGAGGAGCATGAGGAGGAGGAGGAGGAGGAGGGGGAGGGGGCGGAGGAGGAGGAGGAGGAGGAGGAGGAGGAGGAGAAGGAGCAGGAGGAGGAGGAGCAGGAGGAGGAAGAGGGAGGGGGAGCAGGAGAACGAGAAGGAGGGATGAGGCCGACTGCCAGACCTCCGTCGAATGTAACACAAACACAGAAGCACAAAGTTTGAAGACCAACGAAGGGCACCGGGAACATCAACAAAAAACAGCCCAGGATGGAAAGCCGGTCCCTGGCCTCGGGAGGGCTGCGTTGGGAAATCATTACGACGTCGGGTGACTGGGGGCGACCGCGACGACGCTGACGACGACCACGGACACGAACTCGATGACGACGGCGATCGAGGTTCGAGATCGGCGATTGCTGAAATGGTGGTGTATGCCCTTATGGTATCGAGTGGCCCTGTTGTTTGCCAAAGAAGCAACTTTTGGACGTCGTGGTGCTGCTGCTGATCTGCCTCCTCCCTCTGCGATAATAAGATTAGGTCGGGCATGTCTCCCTACTTGCAGATTTGGGCGGAAAACAGATCTAGTCAAGAAGGTATACCAAAATAGTCAACATGGTGAACAAATGGTCCTCTGATTTTTTTAAAACTATCTTTGATGATTCCTCCTGTAGAGGGACAGGCCCGACTGAATAGTAAGAGCCTCGTCTTGAGTGCGGCAGGCGAGGACGGGGCTCGAGGGGAAAAAGAGGTCGTGACGGAGGTAGGGACGCGGAGGAGAGAAACTCCGAGGGAGGCAGAGAGAGAGAGCGAGTGGAGAGGAATCGTGGGAAGGAGCACGGGGGAAGGAAGACAAAAAGCGAGCGAGGGCATGACCAAACAGAGCACGGTAACAGAACAGACTCTGACGAGACAGATCCGAACTGCATCGGCGCAGAGCAGCTTCCAACCTCTACCGGCGCAGACGTCCGACGTCGTGCGTTTGTTTGATTCCGAAGCGTGGCTCCCCGAAGGTGTCTGGACCCCTCCCCCAAGGCCGCATCCGGTCCTGGTTCAATCAGGGCCTCTTAGGGCAGAGCATTGCAAATAACCATCCTGAAATAGGGGGGCCCCAGAACATCAAGGATCAGGGGATCTTTTCTGAAGATGTGTCGGACCAAACCGCCCAGAATCAGCATCCCCGATGCGAAAACGGGGACCTCGGTGAGGCCACGTCTTCATCGTGAGATTCGGCTCTCTTGTCCTCGATACATCAGGGGAGGTGCTGCCACGCAGCGCCTCTCTGCTTCGCTTCCTCCCTGCCTCTCTCCCAACGTCTGCTCTGCCCTGTTCTGTTCCTGACGGTCTCAAGACACCCAAAGCCGCTTGCCTCACGAGAGAAGCAGACCGGCAACCTCTCGTGATGCTTTCCTTGTCCAATGCCATAACCTCTGCCCCGAAAACCGTGCGGTAACCCCGACCCCGATATCCCTCCATCCCCGCCGTCTTCCTGACTGGTGCTCCTCGCCTCGCCCACTAACCTCCGCACCTCCCCATGGAACGCATTTGCCCAGACCTCGGCCCCTCCTCCTGGCCCCTCCCCCCGCCTCCCCACAGCCGACCCTTATCAGAAGGAGGACGCACGAAGAGGGGAGTGAAGGATGACATGAGCATCAAACCTCGGAGGTCCACGCGGAGTTTTTATGTTGATGTCCTTCTCCGTTCCCCTAGCGATGAGGACGCAAGGGCCTCGGAGGGCCATGTCGACACTTCGCGGGTGGAGCGCGGCCAGGGACGGCGGCCACAGATGGGCCGAGGAGGCAGGGACGCAGAGGGTGTCCCTGGGAAGATTGCCCAGCCTTACCGTGCGGGCTGGCTGCACCTCGAGCCGCTCGCACTTCGAGCAGAATCCGAGAATGACTTTGCTGGCGATGCTGACCATAGTGACGTCGGAGTCGGGGTGGGTTGACATGGGTTCGGGGTCACGCCCCCTGGCAGCGTCTGTGCGAGGGCCGCCGAAAACATAGACCAGCCAACGCAGAGGAAAAACAAACGGCAAAACAGACTTCGGTCGGGCATGTTCCCCTACAGGCAGATTTTGGACGAAACGTGAAACATGCACCAAACAGGCAGAAAATAGTCAAACAATCGTCCCCAGCACATTTTGTTTGTTCTTGTCTCAAATGTTTGACTGTTCCTCCTGTGCAAGGACGTGCCCGACTTAACTGTAGCCTTTCGGCAGCCAAGCCCCCCTGACGGCGCCAGGACCCAGGCGCCGGGCCCCCCTGGCGGCGCCCCCGACGCCGCCCCTGCCGCGCGCCAGGGAGGGAGTCCCAGCGCGGATGCAAGCAGTACGCGCGGACCTCGTCGACAGCTCCTGTTGATGCATGTTACTGTTCTTCGGTTGTGTGCGAGGGCCGCCAGAAGCACAGAGCTGCCAACAACCTTCCGATGTGATTGGTTCCAACCATCCTGTGGTGTTGGGTCCCCTTTGTAAAGAGACGGCGCCCCGCGTTCTCCTCTTTCCTCCTTCTCCCGCTGCCCCCTCCCTCCTCCCATCCCTGCCCCTGCCCTCCGCACCGGTCAACCACGTCGGCAGAATCCTCACACGTGTCGTGGTCCCATAGGGAGCTCCATCCAAGACCCCACTGGCTGCGCTCGCATGCGCCCGCCGCACCAATGGCGGCACACCCCTCACACGTGGCCCCACGGGGAGCTCCACCGAAGACTCCAGTGGCTGCGTTCGCATGCGCCCGCCGCAAACATTCTGGTACACCCCTCAAACGCTTCGTGGCCCCATCAGGAGCTCCACCGAATGCCGCAAAAAGGCTGCGCTGGCATGCGGTCGACGCACCCCTGTCGGCACATTCCTCGTACGCTTCGTGGCCCCATGGGGAACTCCACCGAAAGCTCCAGTGGCTGCGTTCGCACACGCCCGACGCACCCATTGCGTGACGCCCTTTGCACGTTTCGTGCCAAAATTTGCGTTCGCACGCGCCCACCGCACCCATGTCGGCATACCCCTCACACGATTCGTGGCCCCATGGGGAGCTCCACCGATGACCCCAGCGGCTGCGTTCGCATGCGCCCGCCGCGTCCAAACTCGGCACACCCCTCACACGCCTCGTGGCTCCATCGGGAGCTCCACCGAATACCCCAGCGGCTCCCCCGCACCAATGCCAGCACACCCCACACACGCCTCGTGGTCCCATAGGAAACTCCACCGTATGCCCCACTAGCTGCGCTCGCATGCGTCCTCCATTTCGACACATCCCATCACACGTTTGGTGGCCCCACAGGGAGCTCCACCGACTGCCCCAATTGCTGTACCCACATGCGCCCGCCGCACCCACGTCGGTCCACCCATCACACGTTTCGTGGCCCCACAAGTAGCTCCACCGACGACGAGATTCACAATCGCGTTACCTACAACCGAATAAGGTTGGGTCCTTCGCCAGGCTAGTTCACAGCGCGGGGGTGTCATCGCCCCAGCCGCCGCCGTTCCGAGGCACACATTTGTTTGTCACTGCGCGGAGCTCCTCATATGCGCATCTGCCGTGCGCTTCCAAGCGCAATATATTTCGAACATAAGCGGGCTTGAATACTGACAAGCTGGGAGTGTGTCGAACCGTGAATGAGTTTGAGTGTGAAGGAGTCTCACAAGTACGAGTGGGTCTATGTGCATGAATCTGCAGATGTCCAAGGTTAGGCCGAGTGCATCAGCGCGCCAATGGCCTGAGCGAAACTGAGCGTGACGAATTCGAAATGGCTGCGATCCCTCCGTCCATGGCGAACGAACAAATTAGGACTGCTCATGCAAGCGCCTTGCGAAGCACTTGCGCTTCCTCGGCCTACCCAGAAAATCTTACGCAATGGATGGGGCGTTATACGGCCAGCCAAGCCATTGAAAGGATAGGCCCAATCTATAGGAACATACCTAAATCACCTACGATTGGAACCGCAGAAGAGGGGGCCATCTATGCCTCCTGGAGTCTTCTGGGGCCTGGTGGAGCCTCCTGGTGCCTTGTAGGACTTCTTGGGGCCTCCTGAAGTTGTTTGGGGTCTCTTCTGGTCTCCTGGTGCCACCAAGGGGTTTTCCCGGGCCTCCCCGAGCCTCCTGGGGCCTCCTGAATCGCGCCTCAAGGTATGCCCAACATGTGAGAACAGACGTAAGCAACCTAGAATTGAAGACACAGGAGAGGGGCCACCGTATAGGAACACACGTAAGTCACAACATATTCGCGCCCCGGGGAAAGTCGACATTATAGAAACGTGCGTGGAACACTTCGGATTGGAACGACAAGAAAGGCAGCCGCAAGCGATCAAGGATTCGCGCCGGTGTCGAAGCCTGATATACATGAAAATGCATAAAACACATGGGATTGGAACTGGTACGGTGGCCTCATGGGGACGCCTGCGACTTCCTGGGGCCTCTTGGGGGTTCCTGGGTCTCTTGTAGCCTCCTGGGGACTCTTGCTGAAGAATTCGTGTCTCCCGACGAGCCCAATCTTCAGGACCATGCGTGCACGCTCGTGACATCCCCGCAACGTGGGTGCGAACGGGCCTGTGCAACACCCCCTGGCGCCCCCCATTTGGGCGTGCGGAAACCAGCGCCTCGTGCGAGAAATCCTCAAAAACCGTTCCGCCATCAGCATGACTATCATAATCATCACCACCGTCATTGGAATCATCTTTACCAACATGCTTGCATCACCATCACCATCCTAAGCTCCGTGATCCGCATCATACATACGTTTTCTCATGACCACCACTAACGCCAACAGCTGGCTCATCAGGATCACAATCAAATTTCTCATGCCCATCAGCATCGCCATCATCATAATCATCACCATCATCATCAAAAAACCCTATCCGTAAAATCCCATACGCTCTTGTGTTTGCACGGGCCTTCAGTCGTGCTTGGGCGGGGCGGTCTTCGAATACAAACGAATTTGGCTGTTGACGGACGGGGAGCGCGTACAAATGCGAATGAAAAGGGGTGCGGGGTGAATCGGAATACTGCGATTGAGTCGATGCGCGTGAGCCTGAACATGGCCAAGCTCAGGGTGAGTTTCTCTGCGCGTCTGTGCCTTGAGCATAACTGAGCGTGGCTGAAACGAAACGGTTGCGCGACCCCCCCCCTCGTTGCTGAAACAAGGAGCAGGGATGCTCATGTTGACGCCGCGCGAGGCCTTGGCGCTTCGTTGGCCAGGCCCGACAACCTCATGCAGTGATTTCAAAAAGAAATCTCACGCGACACGCCGCATGGAAGAGCGAGAGCGCTTGCGGGCAGTTTCACGCTGGAAGTTCGCCAGCGCCAGTGCCGCCGCTGGCGGAATGGACTGCGGCAGCCCAGGCACGAGCACGTGGCGCAAAACGGGGGCACGTGGCTCGTTCTTTCAATGGCTAGAGCAAATCGCGCTCGCCACCAAAACGGCGTTGTCGGGAGATGCTGTCGCCCCAGTCCGACCGCACATGGCATCGGCCCGATGAATCGCGATACGATTGCACTTTAGATCGCGCAGCGCGCGGTTGGGCGCGCGGAAGACTGGAAGTCTAGGTCCGCGGCATATGGCGTCGGGCCAGCAAGTTTGTCACGCTTGCAAAATAACAATCAACATTTGATATGGGGGCCCATTTGAGCCCACTCTTGCAATACCTTCTGCACTTGGCATCGCGCCGCAGAAGGCCCATGCTGCGATTTCCTTTTGGCTTCTGGCAACGCCATTCCCGTATTCCTCGGCGAGCAGAACGCCTCTCTCGACCGTTCAACAATCCTTCCCCGCGAGACGTTCGAGGGCGTCGTGCACCGACTCCGGTGGACCTCTTTCCAGCAGCCGGTGAGGGGGCAATCGCGCCAGCAGCATGCCCGCAATCTGGGTGGCGCGGGAGAACATCACATAGAGGTTCAGCCACCATGCGTCGTCGTCAGCGCTGCGCTGCCCCTGGGGTTCCTGGCGCGCGCAATCGGCGTTCACTGCGCCGCGTACCGTCTGCCCCTGCGAAGACGTGGTCGTCAGGAAAAGGAAGCCGAAGCGCGAACGGGCCCGTGCAATACGCCCTCGCGCCCCCCTTTGGGCGTGCGAAAACCAGCGTTTCGCCCACACTTGTTTTGCAACATCTGCTCCCAAAGCGGAGGATGTTGAGCATGAAATTCGGCGAACCGCTCGAAACATTTCCGCAATCGTGGCGAGAACGGGCCCGTGCAATACGCCCTGGCACCCCCACCTCTGGGCGTGCAAAATCAAGCGCCTCGCTCGAGACATCCTCAAAACATGCTCCAGAATGATTATCATGATGATCATCATCATCATCATCATCATCATCATCATCATCATCATCATCATCATCATCATCACGATCATCATCGACATCTTCACCATATCACCAACATCATCCTCACCCTCATCAGCAGCATCAGCATCATGGGCATCATCAGCATCGTCACCCTCATCAGCAGCATCAGCATTATCAGCATCATCTGCCGACAGTGTCAGCATCCACTAGCAGCATCATCATCAGAGTCATCAGCATCTGCATCAGCATAGTTATCTTTATCATCACATAACCGAAACAATGACCCTCAGTGTGAGTCGTGGCGAGGAAAAAGAGGGAGAGGAGGAGGAGGAAGAGGAGGAGGAGGAGGAGGAGAAGGAGGAATGTGAGTGAAAGCAGCCGACGTGGTCGGAGTAATAACAAGAACACCACTCTTTGGATATTGGGAAAACCAAACACACCCATCCGTCGGATATAGGGAACAAGAACACTATCTGCGGGATCTGGGTTCTCAGCGGGCAAAAATCCCAGGATCCCCAACATGTTTCCACATGATCTCTATATTCGTCTTCCCCACCCCCACTTCCCACATGTTTTTATGTGTCCGCTGGGATCGACGATTATTGATGTCTGTCTTCATTTCCCCCTCCTGAAACCTCCCGCTGTCGTCGTCGTCGTCGTCGTCGTCGTCCTCGTCGTCGTCGTCGTCGCCGCCGCCGCCGCCGCCGCCCCGCGGGGCGGGCCGCGCCTGGCTGCTGCGGTGCCAGGCGCTCCTCCACCGGGAAGGCGATGCCGCCGGGCGCCTGCGGGCGGGCGATGCCCCCCGGGGGGGCTCGTCGGCGAGCCCTACGTCTGGCAGCGCGGCGGGGCGGGCAGTGCCCAGTGCCGGGGGCCATCGGACATGGCGAGACCCATGCGAAACATTTGACGAGAGGTCCGCGCTCGTCAGACAACGTCGGCAAACCCGAGTTCTGGCTTACTCGAGTCTTACGTTTCCGAATGTTGCTGCACAGTGATGTTTGGAAGCAGTGTGGAAAATCCGCCAATCCGGCGTGTGAGTTTCTGAGAGCGTGGGCTTGAGCTCGCTCAAGCTTCGCTCTGGAGGGGGGCGTCGGGGGGGGACGCAAACGACGAAAACGACGAGGAGAGAGGAGGGGGGGGGGGCTCGCTCAAAGCTTCGCTTCTGCACGCGAGGGGGTGGGGGGGGGAAAGGAGAGAGGGGGGGGGCTCGCTCAAGCTTCGCTCTGCAGGGGGGGGGGGGCGCCAACGACGAAAGAATTGACACGGAGGGGGGGGAAAGGAGAGGGGGGGGGGGGCAGGAGAGAGGGGGGGGGGACAGGAAAGAGGGGGGGGGTGGGGGGAAAAGAGGACAGGGGGGCGGGGAGAGGGAGGGGGTGGAAGGAGAGAGGGGGGGGGGAACAGGAGAGAGGGGGGGGCGGGGAGGGGGAAAGGAGAGGGGGGACGGTGCACAGGAGGAGAGGGGGGGGGATACAGGAAAGAGGGGGCGGGGGAGGGGGAAAAAAGAGACAGGGGAGGGTGGATATGAGAGGGGAGGGGGGGGGGGGGACAGGAGAGGGGGGGAGGGGAAGGAAAGGAGAGAGGGGAAGGGGGGGGGAACAGAAGAGAGGGGGGGGGGGAAGGGGAAAGGAGAGGGGGAGAGAAAGGAGAGAGGGGGGGGAGGGGGAAAGGAAAGGTGGGGGGGCAAGCTAGGTGCGCTCGCGTCATATCTGACATCCTACCCCTCCCTCTCATTTCTTTACCATGGCGCAGATCCCCTCTCTACCCGCTCAGTCGGATGTCGAGCAGGGCAACGATGGGTACGCGATGCATTGTAGAGCACGGCGTGGCATGGCGTAGAAGAGCACCGCAAAGCGTAGTATCAATCTAGCATTGCAGTGCATGCCGTGGCATGGCACGGAAAAGGACGCCAGCGCTGCTGCGGGAGCAGGAGTCGAAACGAGCGAAAGCGCGGAAATGAGGCCAGCGCTGCAGCGGGAGCACGACTCGGAACGAGCGGAAGCACGGAAATGAGGCCAGCGCCGCAGCGGGAGCACGATTCGGAACGAGCGGGGCCCGAAAATGAAGCCGGCGCATCAGCGAGAGCAGCATTTCGAAAACAAATGCAAGCGAAAACCCAATTCCGGGGAAACCTGTGTAAAAAGCCCGTACGCGGGGGGGGGGGGGGGGAGGACACTCCCAGGCCGTCCATTCAGGGGAAGAGGAGAGTGAGAGTAGTATTCAGATTTGAATATTGTAAAGGAAGAGACGGGGGGGGACAGTAGAGAGAGGGGGGGAGGGGGGACAGGAGAGAGGGGGGGGGAGAGGGGAGGGGGGGGACAGGAGAGAGGGAGGGGGGGAAGGACAGAGCACAGAGAGAGAGAGAGAGAGAGAGAGAGAGGGAGGGGGGAGGGGTGAGGGAACGGGCGGAGAGAGGGTTGGGGCGGGGACCGACGAAAACCGACGACAGAATGACACGCGAGGGGAGGGGAAAGGAGAGAGGGGGGGGGGGGGGGGCTCGGCTCAAGCTTTCGATCTGCAAAAGGAAGGGGGGGACGCCAAACACGAAAGAAATGACACGCGAGGGGGGGGGGGGGGGGAAGGGAAAGAGGGGGTGGGGCGCGGGAAGGAGGGGGGGGGTGGGGGGGGCAGGCATAGAGGGAGGAGGGGGGGGGGGGCAAGGAGAGAGGGGGGGGGGGGGGGAAAAAAAGGGGAGAGAGGGGGACAGGAGAGAGGGGGGGGGGGCAGGGGAGAGGGGGGGTTGGACAGGAGAAAAGGAGGGGGGGGGGGACAGGAGAAGGGGGCGCGGAGGGGGAAAGGATGGAGAGGGGGGGGACAGGAGAGAGGCGGGGGGGGGCGGGACAGGAGAGAGGGGGGGAGGGGAAGGAAAGGAGAGACTGGAGGGGACAAGAGAGAGGGGGGGGGGGACTGGGGAAAGGAGAGGGGGGGGGGAGGTGACGGAGATGGGGGGGCAGGAAGAGGGGGGGGGAGGGGGGGGGGGCAGGAAAGAGGAGGGGGGGGGAGAGGGGTGGGGGACAGAGAGGGGTGGGGAACAGGAGAAAGAGGGTGAGGGTAGGGGGAGGGAAAGGAGAGAGGGGGGGACAGGAGAGAGGGGGAGGGGGACAGGAGAGAGGAGGGGAGGTGGGGAGGGGGGGCCGGGATCATCACCATCTCCATCACCATCACCATCACCATCGTCACATCACCATCATCATCATCATCATCATCATCAACAACAGCTGGAGCGTCCCGGATCGGCGGCGCTGGCTGGAGGCCACTACAGCAACAACAACAACGACAACGACAACGACAACAACAACAACAACAACAACAACAACACCAACAACAACAACAACAACAACAACAACAACAATCATTTAAGACTGGGGACACTCCGTTCTCACCAGTGCCAGGGTTTTCATAGGAGGCGGGCAATACCCCCACTTTGTGGGGGGGCCGGTTCAAGCTCTACCAAGTTTCCAAACGACTCTTCGCCACCACCCACACCCAGCTTCCCGCCCTATGACGTTCGGACACCTCACTTCGTGGCCTGCGGACGACCTTGGCTACTACACTGGCGCATGGGTACAATGACTTGTTGTGGTAACATTTTCTGTAAGCTAGCTTAGTATACGACTTTTCCCCCTGCAATTGAAGATTTCGGCGTGCGCGCGCGAAGAAAAAACGAATGTGTCCCATATGGTATTATTTGACAGGGATGATGGCCCTGGCAGGCGCGCAACCGTTGTTGCAGAAGTTCGAAGCACGTGAAAAAGTTGCTCGCAAGAGCCCGTTTGACAGAAATGTTGAAAAAGTACTGGGTTTCCTAAGAAATCCGCAAGAGCGCGCGGGGTGAATTGTTGAAACCATTTTTTTGAAAAAAAACATTGGGTTTTTCATGTTTTTATGTGAAAATCGCTACGAAGACTAAGGTTTTGGAAGGATTTCATCTTGCGCGCGCGAGTATGCACTTCGTGTCATTTTTTGCAAGGGATTCTTGAAGTTTGGTCATGTTAGAACAAGCAATGTCCACTTTGCCTTGTTTTTTGCAAGGGAAAACCGATCGTAACAACACAACCGGATCTGGTATACCCCGTTTTGCCTGAGACTTCCTCGCGAAAATGATGAAAATGTGGCTGCGGCCTAGGCGCGGCGGGGGGGGCGCGCACCAGGGGCCCCAACAATAATTATTCTTTAGAATTAATAATGTTCAACAACAATTACTAGCACGTGGGGACACTCCGTTCTCACCAGTGCCAGGGTTTTCATAGGAGGCGGGCAATGCCCCCACTTTGTGGGGGGGCCGGTTCAAGCTCTACCAAATTTCCAAACGACTCTTCGCCACCACCCACACCCAGCTTCCCGCCCTATGACGTTCGGACACTTCACTTCGTGGCATGCGGACGACCGTGGCTACTATTCAGGGCCCCGCGGCCGACGACGACGGCGTGCGCGCGCGAAGAAAAAACGAATGTGTCCCGCATGGTATTATTTGACAGGGATGATGGCCCTGGCAGGTGCGCAACCGTTGTCGCAGAAGTTCGAAAAAGTTGCTCGCAAAAGCCCGTTTGACAGAAATGTTTAAAAAGTGTTGGGTTTCCTACGAATCCGCAAGAGCGCGCGGGATGAGATTTTGACATTTTTTTGTTGAAAAACCATTGGTTTTTTGATGTTTTTATGTTAAAATCGCTCCGAACACTAAGCTTTTGGAAGGATTTCGTCTTGCGCGCGCGAATGTCCACTTTACCTTATTTTTTGCAAGGGATTCTTGAAATTTGATTATATTAGAACAAGAAATGTCATTTTATAGTGTTTTTTGCAAGGGAAAACGGATCAACAACACAACCGGATCTGGATCACATCGTTTTACCTGAGGCTTCCTCACGAAAATGATGAAAATGTGGCTGCGGCCTAGGCGCGGCGGGGGGGCGCGCACCAGGGGGCCCAACAATAATTATTCTTTAGAATAAATAATGTTCAACAACAACAACAACAACAACAACAACAACAACAACAACAACAACAACAACAACAACAACAACAACAATTACTAGCACGTGGGGACACTCCGTTCTCACCAGTGCCAGGGTTTTCATAGGAGGCGGGCAATACCCCCACTTTGTGGGGGGGCCGGTTCAAGCTCTACCAAATTTCCAAACGACTCTTCGCCACCACCCACACCCAGCTTCCCGCCCTATGACGTTCGGACACTTCACTTCGTGGCATGCGGACGACCGTGGCTACTATTCAGGGCCCCGCGGCCGACGACGACGGCGTGCGCGCGCGAAGAAAAAACGAATGTGTCCCGCATGGTATTATTTGACAGGGATGATGGCCCTGGCAGGTGCGCAACCGTTGTTGCAGAAGTTCGAAAAAGTTGCTCGCAAAAGCCCGTTTGACAGAAATGTTTAAAAAGTGTTGGGTTTCCTACGAATCCGCAAGAGCGCGCGGGATGAAATTTTGACAATTTTTTTTGAAAAAACCATTGTTTTTTTGATGTTTTTATGTTAAAATCGTTACGAAAACTAAGGTTTTGGAAGGATTTCGTCTTGCGCGCGCGAATGTCCACTTTACCTTATTTTTTGCAAGGGATTCTTGAAGTTTGGTTATGTTAGAACAAGAAATGTCCACTTTAGCTTATTTTTTGCAAGGGAAAACCGATCGTAACAACACAACCGGATCCGGACTCCCCCGTTTTGCCTGAGACTTCCTCACGAAAGTGATGAAAATGAGGCTGCGGCCTAGGCGCGGCGGGGGGGTCGTGCACCAGGGGTCCCAACAATAATTATTCTTTAGAAGTAATAAT